AGCGCATGGATTATCTGTGCCAGTCCGGAAAAGAACTGTCGTGGTGGTGGTGTGTCAAACGTCAATACTTAACCATCGTGAGAAAAACGCATCATAATACTTTCAGATTTGTGATCAGAAAATTATATAGCTCCAAGATAGCATTAATCGAGTTGTCCTCATCTGAGACGGTCTCGGATGAGACTCGACCGAGACACGCCGTGATAATTACGGGTAGCGGGGGGCGGTTCAAACACAATATAAGGAAAGGATATAAGGATATAAAAGAGATACCGCACTGGCTGTACCCACTCTCGTCACTCTCAATTGACACCCACGTTGCCCCCCGACCAGCGTTTCACTTTCCAATGACGGCGCTTTCTACAAACTCGGTAGAGTCATTCACCTTGCCCACAGAATGTCACTATTGCAAGATCCCAAGGTGTACTCCGTGGATTCTGACTGGAATACGGGCGATTCTGGTGAAGTAACATGGGAGCGACTAGAGACCAAGTGAGTTGCGTATTCAAGTATTTGAGATTCAGTCTAACATTTTTCAGGTCATGGATAATCCCCAGCCATGCTCTTAGCAACTTGAACGAGTTTCTGAGGCACCTCAGGCGGTATGGGCACAGAGCGAGGAAAGCCATGGATTTCGTTCCTTGCGGAGCTGCGTCTTCGCTTATGGATATGATACAACTCGTACGTTTCGAGAGTTTCACAAGTAGCAGTTACTCAGGAGACCTTCATAGCATCTGGATGGCGCAGACAGTCACGAAGACCGCAGCCTCCGTAGAGCTTGCATTCATTGCCTTCTTCGTCTGAACAAACGCCACTTTTCCTTACCAACCTCGCTCCATCTTGTGGATGTTGTGAAGGAGGGGTCGCATCCAGTCGCTGGCGGCGGATTTGCTGTCAGACACACCACCTCGAACTATAGACTTTTGATCATCTCACCCAGTTCTTTTTAGGATATCTGGAAAGGGCGTCTCAAGGTTGACCGACTGGTCTGCCTAAAGGTTTTACGGGTTTATACAGGAAGCTTCGACATGAACAAGTTGATGAAGGTGCGTCGCTTTGTACCACTGCTCAGCATATGGTCTCTGAAGGCCCGTACGATGATACATCCAGCAACTGGGTAATGAGGTCCTTATCTGGCGCCAACTTCGTCATCCAAATATCGATGAGTTCCTCGGAGTCACAAGCGAGTTGTTCGAGCCAAGCTACTGCATCGTCTCACCTTGGATGGCGAATGGAGACGTGATGTCCTATTGTCGCGAGCGCAACTCAAGTCTCGAAGTCAAGATTGCAATGGTGCGGTATTACCAAGTCGGACTGAGCCTCTGGGGAAAAGCTAATGGTCTTGTAGATGCGAGAATTCTGTGACGGCCTACGATACCTTCATGAATACAACCCCCCGATAATACATAGCGACATCAAAGGCGTGCGTTAACCTTCCATCCCGACCTTCCAAAGCCTCACCGAATCTTTTTGCCATCACAGATGAACATCCTTGTCTCTGATGATGGTCACTGTCGAATTAGCGACTTCGGACTCTCTACGATTGAAAACGACTCACCAGAAGGGCGGGTCAGCGACAGCACGAGCCAGGCGGCAATGCGAGGTTCAATTCCCTGGCTTGCACCAGAGTTGATGAATCCGAGTAGTGTCGAATCGCCAAACCGGACGACACGGGATATCTATGCACTAGGGTGTACTATGTATGAGGTTCGGAAGCACCTTCGCTTTTGTGTTGCCTACATGAAGCTGACCGTTCCAAAGATACTCGCTGGAAGTCCCCCATTTTCCGACAAGAAGATGGACCCTCATATCATGATTGCGGTCTTGAGTGGCATGCGACCGACACGACCAGCGGGATGCCCTGATCACCTCTGGACGATCATCGAGAAATGTTGGACCGAGGACTCTGGATCACGACTTGTCGCATCCGAAGTAGTCGCTCTTTTGTCTGAACCGACCCTTCTGACCCTCTCTTCCCCCACCAATACCTCTGTCATCAATGCAGAAGTCGAGTACATGGATAGATTATCAGAGGGGATTCAGTTTGGACGCGCAGACTGGGAGCCTCACCCCCACGTTCGAGACCCACAATTCAAAGGCAAAAACCCTCTCCCGGCTGGTTCTACACCCCCGGGTATGAGTCAAGATGAAGGGGTGCGTCTAGTAGACAGCACAAGAAGAAGAGGCATAGATGAAGTCGATTCTCCCACCGAATCTGATACTCCCGTCAAGCGACCTCATGGTCGATTCCGCCCACGCCTAACGCCATCATCCGCGGAATCGGTTCATCGACGCCCACTGGGTGGCCGATCATCGGCATCGGTTCAACGACGGCATCAGCCCCCGCTCTTGCCGCCGTCTAATGCCAACAATTCAACGACTTACGTTGTCGAGAAGGGCCCAGAGCCCACCAGTGTCAAGGCGCCATCTGATTCTCCACCTATACATCCAACGGCGAGCAGTCACTCGGTGAGCAGTGCAACCCCTCTTCCACCCACACTTGCACATTTACCGCCGTCGTGGCAGTATGATGATTATTTTTGTGGATCTGATGATGACATCACTCTCTACCAGTGTGGTTTGGGCAGTCTCTCCTCTGAGCCTCGCGGATCGCAAAGGTTGGCCGGAAACAGCGCCACTCGTGATAGCGCCAGTCGATCCGCTGAACCCCATACGGCGAACCGGCGGCACACGGGAGCTGCCACACTATCCTTTCGCAGCGACTCACCGCCGGGTGACCCTATATGGAACTACATCTCTGTCCGAGACGCCTGGAAAAGCTTTCGACTCAGGGTGGGCACTTCAGAACTCGCCGGTGTCCTCCCGTCTTCCTACAGGGTATGAGCAGGGAGCAGGGAGGACATATCTCCCGTTTGTTCCTCCGAGTGCCCTCAGTTTTGTGCAGTAAAAGCACGCGATTTAAACATGGTGCTATAGTAAAAGTGCTTTATTATTCAAATTATATGGCTGGTTCCTTGATATTGTTGCAGGGTATGTTTCAACGTAGAACGGGGGAGGTATGGACACAAAAAGGACTGAGGAGCGAGGGACCTGGAAAGACTAAGAGGGAAGTGGGTACCGAGTGTATGACCGTCATCCCCTCCGTCGATCAAGAACTACCGACATCTTCATTTCACGAATATACGCCGAGCTATCGAAATGTTCCGACGAGTCCGCGATTGAAAGGCCCTAGTCGTGATTCGAGACCAGTCCAGGTATTAGTTATTGTTTATTGTTCCGAGTGAGAGATGCGGCCTACATACACAAAAAAGTCATCAATCCTTAGTTGAAGAACGCCTGCTTTTGCCAGTGTTGATTTCCACATCCGTAGACTGACGCGGGCTCACCAATTGCAATAGTTGCATTTGAAACAAGATAAAAATGAATAAGCGGTCAAGCTTCAAGCGTAACGGAGGTTGGTGACCGGTGAATATTAAATACATATATCCCAGGCTGAGTCTGTGGCCCCCAGGGCAGTCCGACTCCTTGAACCGTACCCGGCGCGGGCATCGTCTATGTTTCGGCGTCCACTGGCAGCTCTCCTCTCCGTTCGGCCCCTCCTGACAACTAATGCAATCTTGGAACTCGTCACGACCGTAGTTCGCGTTCACTACGTCTGACTCAATCTCCTACAAATCCGTCATCTTCAAGTCCCCTGACCAGACCTGAATACACCATCGCCTCCGTATTCTGGCGTGGTCTCCTCCAAAAGTTCAATCACCGGCGAACAAGCGTTATCGCCCAATCTCAGGCATGATGCATTGATGACCTACATCCTCATATGGGCATGGGCACGGGTATTCGATCTGTCTATGGCATTTTCTGGACGGACCCGAGACGATGTTTTTCCTCCCCAAGCCTCATACTCACAGTGTAAGGCGGACGAAATTATCATCGTCTCGTTGATCTAAGAAACGGATCTTCCCTGCTGAGATATACTTTTTCCACTGCAGAGTATAGCTCTCGTTCGATGTTTCCTCCGAGTCCGGCGTTTATAGATTCGGGGAGCCTGAGGTATGGACACAAAAAAAAGAACTGAGGAGCGAGGGACCTGGAAAGAAGTGGGTACCGAGTGATTCATCTGCATCATCCCCTCCATCCTTCATTTCACAAAAATAGGCTAGAGTCCACATTCAAAAGCCTAGTCGTGATTCGAACCCAGTCCAGGCAATATCAAGATACACAGGAAAAAAAGTCATGGCGATATTTCTGCGGGGGGGAGGCGACCCAACGAAAAATTTCCCGAGTGCGAACGACTTGAGACCTTCCGAGGCTCAGGATGAGTGGCGACGGAGGAGGTTTGGTTCAGCCACCAGCGTGGGAACTTGAACTTGAACACCTTCTACACGGTCTCCCCCCAGCGGTTTTCGGCGGGCTCTTGCCCCGACTTATGTTTTAATTCAAAGTAACGTTGGAGGGTAAGATTCTAGTAAGTAGAACGGGTAGGGTGCACCGAGACTAGCCATATATATATATCAGTGTAGTCCCTTGTAACCCAAGCCAAGAGCTGGTACTGCGATTCGTCACCGTGGCTAAGTAGCACGCCGTCCTTAAAAGCCCATTGTGACCTTAGGTTGTCGGTCCGCAAGAAATTGAGAGACCTCTCGAAGAAGGCTCTTGAGAAGTAGGGTTTGTACCCAATGATCAGTGGCTCCTGGCTGAGCACGTATTGAAAGACTGATACCCATGCAGAATTAGTAGAGTTTGATTATCGAAAAAATATGGCGGAAGACTAAGATCATTTCACTTTGGACTCGGGGAATACAGCCCATGGGGCCCTGGGTGTCGCGAGCCCTCCTAGTAACTTGCCAGAAAAACTTGAAGAACGTTGTGATCTGCTGTCGACTGCAAAATCCGATTTCTCAACCGGACAAGAGAAGGAAAGACTTCAGGTCGCGGCAGTCGTTAGTGAAGATCCATTGTGCTAGCGTACTCAACTTGAAGGGTTTGAATGAGCCTTTGTTACATAACATGGAAGTGCTGGATCGCTCCACCTCCAAGGCGCTATAGCCAAGTGGTTACGGCGACAGATTAGAATGTCGAAATAATGTCGCTCTATCTGTTCCTCTTTGAGGGCGCAGGTTCGAATCCTGCTGGCGTCGATAATGCTCTGGGAGTCCACAATTATTTTTTTCATTCTCCCTTTTATATCTACGACTCTTCACATGCACAGTCGCTCGGGGAATAGGCAGGATGACTTGGATTGTCGTTTTACGTATGAGGTCAAGTCCGAGTCTATATATGTCTATACGATGACAGGTCTAGGTAGGATACAACATCGATAATTAGGTTAGGTAGGTAAAAAAAATGACAAAACGAGGATCAAGAAACAGAGATTTGGATAGTGATACAATGCATATCGGTCGGTCGTAGGCTGGTCATCACAAGTCAAGTCATTGAAGAGAGTCGATTCGATTCTACTCCCTCTTTCTCTTCCCCGCAACACCACCCAGACCCATAACAGCGCCAACACCAGGGGTCGGCTTTCTCTGGATGGCACTCCCCTCAGCCGCTCGTGCCATCGCAGCAGCCAACGACGTGGGTGGTTTGGACGCACCAAGAACTCCGCCACCGAGGGTCTGTGCACGACCACGACGGGCCATCAACGGTGCTGGTGGGACTACTGGCTGAGTAGTAATAGAAGTGGAGGTACGCCTCATCCGACCAGCGCCGACACTGACGGGGCCAGTAACGACCGAGGCGAAGGCGGCGGGAGCGGAAGGTCGGGAAGGACGCTTTCGTTTTGCGTCGGGGAGTCGAATCGTTGCTTCGGCGTCGACGTCGGCGTCTTCGGTGGTGGGGAACAAGGTTTTCTTCGTGGGCGGTGGGGAAGGTGCTGGTCGTCTGAACATCCTCGGTGTTTCTTCCTCTTCTTCCTCTTCATCTTCCTCCTCCTCTTCCTCGACCACGACCACGTCTACGCGCTTACTCCCAACTCTAGCCAACTCCATCCCACCTTCATACCTAGGGGCAGGTGGAGGACCTTCCCTGTCCAGAGTCGCAAACACCGCCTTGACAGGACTCCTCTTGACGCTCTTCTCAACTTGAGCCTGCAACCGCTTCTGCAACGCGTCCGGCAAACGAACAGTCCCAGCGTCAGTCGAAGATCTCGTGTGAATTGCAGGCGTCAACGTTTCGAGCGGAGGCGTCATATCGTCAGCGTTGTGCACAGGCAGCGGCAACGGCAACGGAAGAGGCAACGGCAACCTCATCTTCTCCTCCTTCCCTCCTCCCACTTTAGATTTAGAAACCCGAATCGTCTCCGGCCCATTCCCATTCGTCACGTCTACCAAACTCGAAATCAAGCTCCTCTTCCTAACCTTCTCCCCCTCCCTCGACCAACTCAACCCATCCAAATCCCACCCCAGCCCACGCCCACTCCCAGCAGCCAAATCGACCTTGGCGTTCATAATCACCCGGATGGCGTAATTATCCTCCATCTGCTGCTCGCTCTCCATCTGCGCGATCCGTTTTTGACGATGGCACGCGCGAGAGGAGAGCGGGTTTGTGATGTTGCTGTGGGTGGAGGTGCGGTCGGCGGGCATCTTTTGTTGGTGGTGGTTGGTGGTTGGTGGTGTAGGAAAGACGAAAGGCGTGTAGATTATATAGGAGTGTGTTGGGAATGCCACAAGCCACAGGCCACGAGGATAAAAAAGAATCTGAGAGGTCTACTAAAAGAAATGAATGGTTGTTAAGCAAAACCTCGTGTAAATCCTGCCACCCTGGATGCCACATACCTGAGACTGAGCGATGACTGTACAGAGTTTCTTCGTTGTATATATCGATACAATTGAGCGAGTCGTAGATCGTAGGGTCGTAGGGTCGTGAATATCGTAGTAGAAGTCGTGCAAAGAGATGGAAGGAAGGGAAGAAAACCAAGACGCAAAAAGTAGAACCGGCCGGGAAGAAAAATCCGGAACTTGACGTCAGCACCGATTTAGCGCCCCTAAGGCTACTTGACCCTGAAACACGATCACGCGACGCGGACGTCTGGAGGTCGTTCGTTGAAACGCCGATGACAATCCCAGAAATCCTTCGGAATCGGTATCATCTTGTGGTGAGTCACCACGAATGTTCGAAAGACACACTTAACGAAAACAAACAGCAAAAAAAACAATTACGACATCCCCCTCATCGACGCCAGCAGGATTCGAACCTGCGCCCTCAAAGAGGAACAGATAGATCTCATATCCAACCTCCTATGGTCGATATTCTAATCTGTCGCCGTAACCACTTGGCTATAGCGCCTTGAAAAGTAAGCATCTGACGCTCTCATGATTCTTTCCGAAACTAGGGAGAGGGAGGGATATGCCACCCATATGGGCCAAATGCTGAACCGTAGTGAACAGTGAACACACAAGTCGGAGTCAATCATGTTCTCGAGTAACACAGGATCATCGATCATCAACTGGTCTTCGGGCTTATACTTGAAAGTAAATCTTGCCCGGAGAAGAACACACCACGCCGGCCCCCGGGCGTACAAAATACCTTGTCATCTAGACTTCTGCGTCGCTTGTCCAACTCGAAAGGTGGGAAAGTATGAGGGGGGGAGTGTGATCTAAAGACTCAATAAAGGTGGCGATATCGAAGATCGTGTTGTGGATGGTAAGTAGGTAATGTACCAACTCAGCACTGGTGCGTGTTACAAACCAGGGCATTTCGGGAGGAGAGATTAGTTCGATCCAAGTTACACTTTATCCATCCTATCACCGCAACTAGGAATTCGAAATCGAGGTTGAGCCCAGGGCCCGGATTCGCGACATGGATATCATCCACCTGGGGGCCGCCGTACTTGACGCTGTGGGCATTTAAGTACCTCAACCACGAATTGGTCCTTTGCTCAACATTTCTCCGAGCCACGGAGATTAAAAAAGCTGCTTTTTCTGTCCTAGATATCCATTTCACTAGGCCACTCCCTCGATTTTAGAACCCCTCCCTACTCGAGAGTAATTCTATGAGTCATGACGCGGACGATCAACAACTCCTTCAGCCTCAAGACGGTAGATTCAATTTCGAGAGACGTGAATCATCAACCTCTTGACGGTCTTCTTCAACGCATATCCGCAGTCGTGAGTCGTGGCCCATGTTTATGTTCAAAGAGATACCTCCGAGTCGATCAGGTCAAGTCCGAGTAGGGCCTGGAGAAACCTTCACTCACATGTACACTCACTTGCAGAAACAGAAGACACAAAAACCACGGTGCCTGGTCCGTCCCATACAAGGGACGACACCGATATATGCCAGTCTCGGTGCACCTTACTCGTTTTTGCTTACTCACTGACATCCTCTAACAATACGATACTCATCAAAAACACAGGTCGGGGCCGAAAAGCTGCTAGGGGAGACCGTGTATCAAGTTCAAGTTCCCACGCTGGTGGCTGAACCAACCAACCACTTCCGTCCTCGTCCTCCGTCGCCACTCAGTACTCATTCTCGGAAGGCCTTATCAACGTAGATTAAGCTTGCTCCGTTGTTCGCACTCTGAAAGTCTATTTCATTCGCTGTCTGGTTGCCCGGGAGCAGAAACGTAGGCTTGCAGCGCTCCTACTAGTATGCTCGCTATGACTTTTTTTTGGTGTAATCTCTCACTCGGAACACCTGGACATCACAATTCATGACTAGGGCTCCCCGAAAAAGGCCTTTGTGAGCTCGGAACAGGTATATAATCTGTGAAATGAAGAAGGGGAATGATGAATTATGATCATGCACGAGTCGGTACCCACTTCCGAGTCCCTCTTCGCGTAACGTAGTCTTTCCAAGTCCAAGTCCCTCGCACCTCAGTCCTTTCTCGTGTCCATACCTCCCCCCTTTATTACAGTGAACATACCCTACGAACTCCAACGCGTGCTTTTACTAAACTAAAAAGCTGAGAACACTGGAAGGAATCTCAGACCCTATAAGAAGACGGGAGGACCCCGGCGAGCTCCGAAGTACCAACCCTAAGCCGAAAGCCTTTCCAGGCGTCTCGAACAGAGATGTAGTCCCATATAGGATCCGGTGGGGGGTCACTGCGGAAGGATAGTGTAGCAGCTCTCCTGTGCCCCAAGTAAGGCGGTTTGATTTCAGCAAGATGATTGATACGATCGTCGCTTGCACGAGTAAAGTATGGTCGAGGCGGAGGGCGACTGGACCCCCTCGACGTTGGCATCATCTCGGCACTGTTTGTAGATTGTGAAGTTGTCGACTGTTCGTGCCCCAAGTTGAAATTTGACGAGTCTCTCGATGTAGTACGAGGAGGTACAGGACGAGACTCTGACCGACGCCAAAAGGTACTGCGTATCTGCCCACTTGATTTCCGCGGCTTGTTTGCAAGTGAAGAGTCAAGCGGAGGGAATCCAGCGTAGCCGGAACTGCTTGGGTTGTTTGTAGATCGTGCAGTTGTCGACGATCGACGCCGTAAGTTTGAATCTCTCAATGGAGCAAGATGATCGATACCGTCGTCGCTTTCCCTAGCAACTTTGGCCGAGCCTATGTACCGATGGTCCATCACCTCGGACTCAGTACTTGCACGACGAGACCAGCCTGGACTGTTTGTGGATTGTGCATTTGTCGACTGTTCGTGCCCCAAGTTGGAATTCGACTCTCTCGATGTAGTACGAGGCCATGCAAGACGAGCAGCACATCGTATTACAGGCATCGGCTCTGTGGCCTCCAAGCACGGACTCAACTCTCTCCATTCAGAAGGCCGTTCAAGTTCAGCAGGATTGACACAATCATCGCTTTCCCTAGGAACTTTGGCCGAGTCTGTGTACCGATGGTCGACTACCCCATCTGATTCATCGCCACCCTCGTATCGTCGGTCAGGGAACGGAATGTCGCCGGTATTGTGCTGTCCGCTGTCTGCAAATAGTGCAGCTAACGACCGTTCTAAATCTCTATCGCGCCCCGGACGAATTGCACCAGGCGGCGGCGGCAAAATAGGTGGCAAGTCCTTTCCAGGTAGGTCTGCCTCAGATGTAGATTCGTCTTCGCAGAGCAAGTTCTTGGGCAGGGAACTAAGTTGTGTTGCCAAAGCTAACCCTTCCGTAGGGAACCCCGAGAAGCTGGCCGGCGGGGGAGAAGGAGGGAGACGCCTTCGATTGGCTGGAGTCTCAGATTCGGTGGGAGAATCGACTTTATCTATGCCTCTTTTTCTTGAGCTGTGTACTCGAGGTATCCCTTCACCTCGGCTGCGGGATATAGAACTCAGCAGGAGACGGTTCTTGGCTTGAAACAGCATGTCCGGAGGATGGGGGTGAAGCTTCTGGTCTACATGTCCCAATTGAATCCCTTTTGGTAATCTACCTGCAAACTCGTCTGCCTCTGCAGTGATAACAGAGGTGATGCTGGAGGAAGATAGGGACGACTGAGGCATCGATTGGTCCAATAAAGCGACCACTTGGGATGCAACAAGTCGCGCTTCAGAGTCTTCGGTCCAACATTTCTCGATAATCATCCAGAGGTGGTCAGGGCATCCCGCTGGTCGTGTCGGTCGCACGCCACCCAAGACCGCAAATATGATCTGAGGGTCCATCTTCCTGTCAGAGAACGGGGGACTTCCAGCGAGTATCTTTAAACCGGTCAGCCTCATGTAGACGACACAAGAGCGAAGATGCTGACGTACTTCATACATGGTGCACCCTAGTGCATAAATATCCCGTGTCGTTCGGTTGGGCGATTCAACACCACTCGGATTCATCAACTCTGGTGCAAGCCAGGGAAGTGAACCTCGCATTGCTGCTTGGCTCGTGCTGTCACTGACGCGCCCTTCTGATGAGTCGTTCTCAATCGTAGAGAGTCCAAAGTCGCTAATTCGGCAGTGACCATCGTCAGAGACGAGAATGTTTACCTGTGATGATGAACAGATCGGTGAGACTCTGGAAGGTCGGGAGAAACAATCGACGTACGCCTTTGATGTCACTGTGTACTATTGGGGGGTTGTGTTCATGAAGGTATCGTAAGCCTTCACAAAATCCTTGCATCTACACGACCATCAGTTTTGTGTTTTTCGGAGGCTCGGTCCAACTTGGTAGTGTCGCACCATCGCAACCTTGACATCGAGGCTCGAACCACGCTCACGACAATAGGACATCACGTCTCCATTCGCCATCCAAGGTGAGACAATGCAGTAGCTTGGCTCGAACAACTCGTCTGTGATTCCGAGGAATTTATGAACATTTGGATGGCGAAGTTGGCGCCAGATAAGGACCTCATTGCCCAATTGCTGGATGTATCATTGTACAGCTTTCAAAGTTCACGTGCAGAACAGTGGTGTACGCCGACGCACCTTCATCAGCTTGTTCTTGTCGAAGTTCCCTGTGTAAACGCGCAACACCTTGAGGCAGACCGGTCGCTCGTCCCTGAGACGCCCTTTCCAGATATCCTAAAGGTACTGCGTGAGATGATCGTGAATCTACAGTTTGAGGTGATGTGCCTGACAGCAAATCCGCCACCAGCGACTGGATGCGACCCGTCCTTCACAACGTTCGCAAGATGGAGGGAGGGTGGTAGGGAAAAGTGGCATTTATTCAAACGAAGAAGGCAATTAATGCAAGTTTTGCGGAGGGTAGGGTCTTCTTGGCTGCCCGTGCTATCCAGGTGCTACGAACGTTTGCTGAGTTACTGCTATTAGTGAGACTTCCGGAACGTACGACTTGGATCATATCCATGAGCGAAGGCACAACTCCCCAAGGAATGGAGTCCATAGCATTCCGCGCTTCGTGCCCATACCGCCTGAGGTGTCTGAGAAACTCGTCCAAGTCGCTGAGAGCATGGGTGGGAATTATCCATGGGCTGGGAACATTGATCCCAAGTTTCAACGCAATGAAACGAATAGAAGAGTCGACTCACTTGGTCTCTTTTCGCTCCCGTATTACATCGCCGGAACCCAAGTTCACCTTGCTTTCTTGTAACAACAGCATTGTGGGGGCGAGATGAAGTTGTCTGCATCGAGTATATAAGCAGCGATACCATTGACAGTGTGGGAGTCAAGTGATTAATGAGAGCAAGCACAGCTGTATTATTAGCGCGAACAGATCTGGTATAACAGGTGCCTCCAAAGCGAGCGCGAGGACGTATCAAGCATCATGTGGGGTGGCCGCCGGAGGACAGTGAACGCTCTCTACGTGGTTTCTAGGCGCGAAGAGTCAAAGAAGGGTGAGAAAAGACAACAGGAAGACAGCGGCACACAGGTGCCTTTGCAGAAGCGCGAAAATCACACAATTGGACGAGCCTGTTGAGTTTGAAAGCTTCCTTTAGTTGATGCGGTG